AGGTTGCTTCTGATACGTCTCAAAAAACTCTCATTTCAACTGCCACTCCCGCTTCTTGCCCGTGTCCTCTTTGTCCTTCAGTTGCCTTGCTCGAGGAGAGGGACAGAGAGGACGACGAGAGGGGCGAGTAGGAAGAGGAGAGGGACGAGGACCGAGGAAGGTGAGCAGGAACGAGGAGAGGGAGGAGGACTCTTTGCCAATTCCTCACCTTTCCAAGAGAATATTCCCTGTCTTATTCGTTATAAGCAGGCACTTGAACATGTCTGCTTCTATTTAATCCGAATATTCGCGGTATCAGTCAGAGTCGAAACTGAAACTGCGGTATCCTATCGAAGCTAACGCTATGCTGCAAGCATTGAATCTGCGAGAGCTATTCTGCCATGCTCGTTTGCACTCCTCACGTTTCCAAGGGTTTTCGAAGCTCGTTCGTGAGCAGATGAGTTTGTAAGTGCTCTTCTCTAGGCTCGAATCGACTCGCAACCGAAAGAGCCTCTCGAAGCCCTCGAAGCCCCAGCGCCACGGCAGCAACACACTACGTGACGAGGCACTACCACTGATCTGCAAGGCTCCAAATGGGACTGACGAGAATCAGCCGGGACCGGCTTGCTCTCTCGCTAGATTCTAGTTCGCAACTCGGCTGAAAGACTCGCTGCTGGCAGTGCGCGTTTTGAATTTACGGAAGCCAGGCAAGGGGGGATAGAATGTAAATGTTGTTTAGGGTTCGTCTATCTCGGTTCGTAGCTTTTCTTCACGTTTGAGAACGGTTTCCAGGTATACCACTTTCAGAAACGCTGCGCACCGAACTTAACCATTGCATATGTCAATCTCGCCCGTAGTCAACTCCTGACACACTTCTTCTATCCATATTTCGGGGCTGTTCGCCAGCACCAATGAAGCAAAAAACCATGGGATGTGACGGGATTAGGAAGGTGGGTCTCGCCTTCCTGATCCCGTCAGTTAGGTTTAGTTTACCTCCGTCAGCCTGGTCAGCCCGTAAAAAAGGTGCCGAGCCTCCCCAATTGTCCAAACCGACAATCAAAGTGGGTGTCTTGCGAACGCCCCCATTTGTCAACCAAAACGAACTGCTAGACGGCATATGGAAGCGGGGACGCAACTTCGTCCCCAGGCAAAGTTCCATCCCCAAGCCATGCCATCGCCATGCCGGCCCTGCTCTACAGGCACACAAACCCTTCTGCGGCACGTTCGCGGCTGTTTCGACTTAGGCTTTTTTTTCAGCGGTCAGCCCGCAATCTGGTGTTTTTGGGCTTTAACGCTCTGTATCATGAAGGGTTAAGGGTTAGCCTGTCGAACGCGACGTTAACCCTTCAAGCGTAGACTTTAGCCTAGCTCTAGCACAGCCCTCCAATCCCCAGAAGGGCTAGGCTAGGGTTTCATACGGGAGGGAATACCACTCCATACTCTACGAAAAAAATCCCACCAGAGCTCGTGCCCTAACCTCTCCCATCTCTGCCCTGAAAATGTCCCATCCTCCAACAACCAAACCAGTCAGAGAGATAAGTGCACGCTTTTTTATTCCTGGTGCCCATGTCATCCCTCCACAAATTTTCATCCCTGCCCACGATGAAGATGGTGGAAGGAGGGGCTGCAACATCGCCATGACAACCCCCTCCTTCCGACCTTGGGAGGCGCTGCTTCCGATTTGGGGGGAGGGGGGGGTAGGCTAGGAGAAGTTACTTCGAAATCACCTCTCAGCTTTAGCCTAACCCTAGCGCTCCAAGGAGGTGCCTGCCTGTCGAGCAGGGCCGCTGCGTTTTTCTAAGCACAGCGATGGCACAGCCGTCGCATTGCCGTTCAAAGGGGATTGGGGGGAAGGTGGGGACGGAGGTTCCCGACGCGGTTGCGAAATTTCGCAACCGCAGGCGCAGAAGTTTCTTGAACGGCATTACGGCCAAACCTCAGAGGTGGGTTCCGCCTCCGTTTCCAGATGCGGTCGCGATGCCGACGCCATTTTTTTCATTTCAAATTACGATTTCCTGGCGAACAGCACCTTTATCTGCTAGTTTCCTCTATATCTTCACGCCCTCACCTGTCGACCCCGACGCTGCAGGCACGTTTCACTCCATAGCACAAAATTTATATCGTCAGACGATGCTTGGATTATCACCCTACTAGTTTCGAGACGACGCAAACATGGAAGCGCTTTTCGCCCAATCGCGTGATCTACTCACTCGCGTCACGATGCTCGAGCCGCCGTCAGTTTCCACTCTCGCCTCCCTCTTCGGAATCGCCGTACCCGTTATGTTCCTCCTCGCTCCTGTAGCCTGCCTCGCCACAACATTCATCTCCGCGCCTTACGGTCGACACGTGCGACCCGGCTGGGGTCCCTTAATCCCCGCGCGGCTCGCGTGGATCGTCATGGAGAGCCCCGCGCTTTGGCTTTCCGCCATGGCGTTCAGCTGGGGCTGGCACGGCTGCCACGTGGCAGATCGGAAAGCAGGATCAACGGCGGGTGCGGCGGCAGCGGTATCGGAGGCGACGGATGCGGCACCAGTAATTATGGCGTTTTATCTGGTGCACTATTTTCACCGGGTGGTGATTTACCCGATGCGGATGCGAGCTGAGGGCAAGACGATGCCCGTGACGGTGATGCTTCTGGCGTTCTGCTACAACCTGCTCAACGGCTTCATGCAGGGCTGGCAGTGAGTGCGAGTGAGGGGTGCTGGCTGCTTGCTTGCTCGGTGTGTGCTTGCTCGCCTTCTTGCTGCCCTGCGTGCTTTCTGGGTTTCTGCTACAACCTGCTCAACGGCTTCATGCAGGGCTGGCAGTGAGTGGGGATGAGGGCTGGCAGTGAGTGAGAGTGAGGGATGGCAGTGAGTGAGAGTGAGGAACGGCAGTGAGTGAGGGTGAGGAATGATGCTTGCTTGCTTGCTGGCTGGCGTTCTGCTACAGCCCGCTCAACGGCTTCATGCAGGGCTGGCAGTGAGTGCGAATGACGGATGCTGCTTGCTAGCTCGGTTGAGTGCTCGCTCGCTTGCTTGCTGGTTGGCTAGCGTACTTCTACAACCTGCTTAACGGATCTATACAGCAGCAGCAGCAGTGAGTGCGAGTGAAGGATGCTGCTTGCTTGCTTGCTGGCTGATTGGCTGGCGTTCTGTTACAACCTGCAATGGATTCATGCAGGAAGGGCAGTGAGTGGGAATGAGTTTTGCTTGCTTGCTGGTTGCCGGCTGGTGCCCTGCTGCAACATCCTCTTTTCTCAACGGATTTACTCAAGGACGGCAGTGAGTGAGGGAGGAATGAACAATCGTGCTGGTGCACTCTGATGGAGAGACCAGTAGAAAGCAATAACGAGCCTGCCACGAACGTGTACAAGGAACCTGTGTAGGGATCACTTCAATGAGGGTGCTCGATGGACCTGCAGTAAGCAGTACTGCCATGCTCCTAGTGAATCTGCTGGTCCTGATAAAGGTGACTTAGCTGTTCCCCTTTACTGCACCTGTTAACTTTCTCGCAGTACCCCCTTTTTCTCGCCCCCTGTTTCTTACAATTTGACCTATATTTTTTCTCACCATTGTTGCACAGGGTGGGAGGCGCTGGCAAGTATCCTCTTTCATGGCTCTCTTCCATGCAGTCGCATTGGCTCCTCTCTGTTCCTCGGTTGATCACCAACATTGCCAATGTCCTTGTGTTGTGCAGAGTGGGAGGCGCTGAGAAGTATCCGCTATCATGGCTCTCGTCAATGCAGTTTCGCATTGGCTCCTCTCTGTTTCTCCTCGGTTTCATAATCAACATTGCGGCCGATTCAGCTCTTCTTGCTCTAAGGAAAAACCCTCAAGACAAAGGGTACATGATTCCTAGAGGGCCGCTTTTTCACCTGGTTTCCTGCCCGAATTACTCTGGAGAGCTGGCTGAGTGGTTGGGCTGGGCCATATTGACGTGGTCTTGGGCGGGATTGGCTTTCTTTGTATTTGCGTGTGCCAATCTCGTGCCACGTGCAGTGTCCCACCATAGGTGGTACTTGCAGAAATTTGAAGATTATCCGAAACAAAGAAAGGCAGTTGTGCCTTTCTTGCTGTAAAAAATAATAATGTTCTTAAATTGATCCATAAATCGATGTGGGTCCAATTCTGCATAGTTTTTATATCCAGAGTATAATCAGCACATCTCCACTGCAAATAGTCGTGTGTAACATTTCTTCGCTATCTGACAGCCAAGTGCCTGGCACTGCGGCTCCGCTCTGCTCTGACAGAATGAGAGTTGATGCAAGTCATTCAGGGGCATGAAGCTCGGTTCGTCACGTCTCTTTCGAGGTTTTGTGAGGTTGGCTTTGTTTACAATGCGGTAGTGGGCCTTATTAGAAGTGAATGGCATTGAAAGTGAACAGGGAGGAGGAGCTTCCAGGTGCTTCCATTCCACATGCTTGCAAGCAGAAGCAATGGCTCTCCCCATATCCCGAATCCCAAGGCGACTGCTGTGACTGCATTTGTATTTTGTAACTACCATGCATCACCGTTGCTGCTGGCGTGAGATGCAGCATATGAGTTTGACGTGACCACGTGGCATTAGGTGTTAGAAGCATCTGGTGCGAAGCTCGGAAAGCTTGTCTTTGGCTCCTAACCAAGAGAGAGTCATACCTTCGACTTAAATACACACTCTTAGCTGCTGGTATCTAAAGTATTCCCTGTAACTGTTATCTAAGTAGCTACGTCTGTCGACCTACCTTACTTTCGCGTCACGTCTACGTAATCATCAATCTCAAAGCCCTATCAGTCTGTCTTAGAATCAGTTTAGCCGCATACCTATAGCATGAGTCAGTGCTGTGGCATCTCCATTTGAACGTCGGAGCTGCGTCAGCTGCGTAATCAGGCTTGATATAGTCTCAAGCTCGGACCAAAATTAGCTCAATTAGGCTCATTCTGAGTTGAATCTAGGCAAAACCTAGTCTCGACCCTGGATTACTAAACCGAGTTCTTGAAGTCGAAGGTTCGCAGCGGATTTGCGTCTCTTGGTGGTTGTTTCTCTCCCATTGAAGCGCCGCAATGCCGCCGAAAACGGCGCAGGAGCTTCAGGCGGAGAAACTGAAGCAGAAGGGTAACGAGTACTTCAACAAAGGGTTTCTCGGGGCTGCTATAGACGCGTACACGGAGGTGCGTGTCTCGTCGAGCTCAGCTTTTAGAGAACGGCACAAACAGGACGCCACATCATTAGAGGAGAATCGTTGCGTCAGGTGGCTTGTGAATTGACTGAGAAGTAATTCTGGCATGGAAGAAAGGCGTAAACTCGTTTATAGCTGGAAGGTTTGGTAGCTGATAACTGTCAACAAGTCGCCAGGTTGGATGGCGGAGATGCGGTAGAGGGAGGGAATGGTGGGGGGATGTGTAGAGGGAATGGCAGGGATGGTGGTTTCGTTTATTGTTCCCTGTCATCCTCTTATAATCCAAATTCATCCTGCCATGTCGCTGATAGTTCGTTATTCGCTGTCCTGTTTCTTCCCATGGCCGTTCACATGGCAAGCCATTGCCTTTCTCAATCAGGCATACCAGTATACTGGATTAGCTGAACTCTCTACCACCTGATTCCTATACCCTTCCTTTCCCATTACCTTCCAATTCCCCACACGTGCCAGTCTACCGGACCCAACGAGCCGGTGCCACCCAATTCTCGTCCCCCTTTCCATTCCCATCCAATTCCAACCTTTGTCGCTGTGTCTCCTCCTCCTCCGCCCTTTGCCATTCTCTCCGTCTCCAATGTTTCCTTCCCAAGCCAGGCCATCACCTTTTCCCCAGGGGTGCCAGTTTATTGGACCAACCGAGCTCTATGCCACAGGAGAAAATGGTGAGTGACACATGGCGAGACGGTTGTTTAGAATTTAGAGCTCCGTGTTGCAGGAGAAACTGGTTAGACCCAGAGGCTGCTGAACTTTGCCATGAGGGTAACCCAAGTTGGATTCTTGTGTTGTCATTTTTCTGCTGGTCAATGTTGTTCGCGCAGCATGTTGTTTTATCATGGCCCATCCGTTCCCTCTCTTTCGTCTGTGTGCAGCGATTGGCCGAGAGTAGAGCATGACTGCACGAAGGCGTTGGAACTGGACAGAAATTCCGTCAAGGTACTTGAATGAAATTGCATTCTGAAATCATATTGAAGTGTGTCACGGATCACAATCAATGGATGCATGCGTTTGAAGAGTAGAACATAGTGACGACAACTCAACAGGTTCTTGTCTCCAATCTCGTTTCCTCCTCACTATTAACACTATCAAAGAGTTTCGTATATATCTCTGTTTATAAGATAAACATACACACGAAAGCAAATCAAAATAAAAACGCCTGTGCCCTTTTCCTCTGCAGGCGCGCTTTCTTCTTGGCCTTGCTCTGGTGGAGCTGAGCCGATTCCCAGAGGCGATCAGAGAGCTGGAGAAGGTGCGTGGGGGGGAAGGACATGGGGGGAGGGACAGGGACGGAGAGGGACAGGGGGGAGAGGGACAGGGGGGAGAGGGACAGGGGGGAGAGGGACAGGGGGGAGAGGGATAAGGACAGAGGGGAAGGGGGCCGGACATGTGCGTGGGGGTATACATGGACAGGGGGTATGGTTGGGCGCATCTGCCTCCCTTTCTCTGTTGAAGCTTATCCGATTCCGAGAGGCGATCAGAGAGCTTGAGAAGGTGGGCGGGGCGCGGAAAGGACAGGGGGGAGAGGGTGAGGGGAAGGGTGTGCACACACCCAGAGGTGAGCAAGAGGACATGACTGGGCTGGGAAGGGGGGAGGATGGGTGGGTGGGTGGGGTGCGGGCATCTGCTCCTCTTGCTCTGGTGAAGCTGAGCCGATTCCCAGAGGCGATTAGAGAGCTTGAGAAGGTGCGTGGGGGGAGGGACATGGGGAAGAGGGGGAAAGGGAGAGGGAGAGGGACAGTGTGTGCGTGGGGGTGTGACTGGGAAGGGGGGAAGGTGGGTGGGGTCCGGGTATTGGATGGATAAGAAATGGAGGAATTGTAAGACCAGTGCATACATGGATTCATTGCACTGGCTATCATGCTTGTGCAACCCCTTTTGATCCCTTTCAACCACTCCGTTCCCAGGCGCTAGAAACAGTGTGGAACGGCATGGCACCTGGTTCAGGAAAACCGTTTGTCCCCCATTCCCCTCCAAGGCACTAGAAGCACCAAGGAACAACACGCGGCTGCTGCGCAGTAACATCAAGCTCCTTATTTATTTTTCCGCTCTCTCTTCCTGTATTCCCCTGCCAGGCACTGGAAGCAAGCCTGGGCAACATTTGGCGAGTGACACCAGATGATACCTGGCTGGTACGCAGTGACAACCTGGGCGACTGTTGGCGGGTACTTGCTTCTGCCAAGTACCCACGGTGTGCTGAGCTGAAGTAGCGAGTACCATTAAATATCTGCATCCTTCTTCCCTTCCATTCCTCTTAATTCCCCTCCCAGGCGTTGGAAGCACTGAGGAATGACACGCGGTTGGTGCGCAGTGACAACCTGGACGACATCTGGCGAGTTCTTGCTTCTGCCAAATACCGGCGGTGGGAGGAAGAGGCCAAGGCGAGGAGGGAGAAGCAGCAGGCGCTGGGGTGAGTGAGCGCTGAACTGTGAAAGCGATGCTTGTACAAGCATGTGCTTGTGTGTGTGTGAAGTTTGCAACTCAGCGCGTGGAGGCTGCTGCCAAGTACTGGCGGTGGGAGGAAGAGGCCAAGGCCAGGAGGGAGAAGCAGCAGGTGCTGGGGTGAGTTTGGAGTGTGGCTTCGGGATGATAGAGGTGCTTGCAAAACCCGCTTTTTCCTCTTTTATATCTATATCTACACACACACACACACACACACACACACACACACACACACACACACACACACACACACACACACACACACACACACATTGCTGTTGCTGGTTCCTCTGCTGATTTTTTTTGTGGGTTGACGGTTGTTTGGGTGCAGAGATGAGCTAAAGCTGCTACTAAAGAATCGCCTGTGTCAGCAAGTATCGCAGCTTCTTGGTACGTGCGGTGTTTGCATTGAGTCTGACAGCCACGAATGTCAGCTTGTTGTTGTGTTGCCAGCAAGTATCGCAGCCTTGGAAGTCAGCTTATTGGTAAGTGCGGTGCTAACTTCTGAGACACCTCACAAGTCAGCTTTCTAGTTAGTGTGTTGTTATGCCGCCCGTGCGATAGATGTTTCGTTTTATTCATGTTAACAAACTTTTGAATCGAATAGACCGTGGATGTTACTTTGTGCTTGTAGTGGGAAATGTGTGGTGTGACTCAAACGAACTTAAGAGCGCCTGTGTTTGTCCTCGAAAAGGCCACATGAATCTCAAAATCTGTTGCTCAGAACGCCAAGTTTGAGTCAAGGCGAGGGACATTGTCAATGAGGTGACTTTTGAGTGTCGAGGCGAGGGACATTGCCAATGAGGTGACTTTTGAGTGTCGAGGCGAGGGACATTGCCAATGAGGTGACTTTTGAGTGTCGAGGCGAGGGACATTGCCAATGAGGTGACTTTTGAGTGTGGAGGCGAGGGACATTGCCAATGAGGTGACTTTTGAGTGTCGAGGCGAGGGACATTGCCAATGAAAAAGCATGTGACTTGCTGCCTGACTCCGTCCTTTGCAGGCAAAGAGGGCGCGCTGAATGGGTCAGCTCATGTGGACTTCTCCAGTTTGGGAAACACGGATGGTGAGAGGAGAGTCGGGAGTTAGGGGATTACGATGGACACACAGACACATGCAATGCAGCTCATGTGATGACCCATGCCTTGTCCAGGTGCATTTTGAGATTTGTTCAAAATACACATTTGAGGCGCCTCAAAAGATGGCCCATGCCTTGTCCAGGTGTATTTTGAGAGTTGTTCGAATCAAAATACACCAGGAGCGGCGTAACTCAGCACTCGTTACCTTCCCCACTCGCACCTCCTGCTCTCATCCTCCCATTTGCACGTCTACCTCCCGTGCCTCTCAATGCCTCGCGCCTTTCACAAGTCTGGACCCTCTCGAATCGGAACAGGAGAGGAGGACGCCCGTGCAGCAGTACCAGGTGCGACCAAACATGCCTTTTCTACCCCCTCCTCCCACCTCTCCCTCTCATCGTCCCACGCTCACATCTCCCTATCGTGTCTCTCACCCTCTGCAGGCTCAAACCCTCTCAAGTCGGTGCAACTGAGGACGCTATTGCAGCAGTACCAGGAGTGCCTCAACACGCTCTTCTACCCCTTCTTCCCACCTCTCCCTCTCATCTTCCCACTCTCACATCTCCCTCTCATCTTCCCACTCTCACATCTCCCTCTCATCTTCCCACTCTCACATCTCCCTCTCATCTTTCCCACTCTCACATCTCCCTCTCATCTTCCCACTCTCACATCTCCCTCTCATCTTCCCACTCTCACATCTCCCTCTCGTGCCTCTCACGCATCTCGTTCTCTGCAGGAATGGACCCAATCAAAACGGAGCAGGTGAGGACGCTAGTGCAGCAATATCAGGAGCGCCCTAACACGATTCTATGCCTTACGCCTGTATCCTCTCCTCTCGTCCTTCCAACCCCACTCTTCCCGCAGGTCTGGACCCTCACAAGTCGGAGCAAGTGAGGACGCTAGTGCAGCAGTACCAGGAGCGACTCAACACGCTGGAAAACGTGTTTGATAAGGCAGGAGCACCAGACAGACCTACCGAGGTGAGTGTTTGGGAGTCTGGGAGAAAATATGTGTGTCGAGTTGTTGAGGAGGCTCAGAAGGTGGGGTGGTGCGAAGGAATGTCTGCAGCAGTACCAGGAGCGCCTCAACATGCTCAAGGTGACTTTTGGGTCGACTCAAAGGTCACCTTTTTTTAGTCGACTCAGAAGGTAGGGTGATGCGAAGGAATGTCTGCTCTGCAGCAGTACCAGGAGTGAAAGCTGAGGCCTCAACATGCTCAAGTTGTGAGGCGCCTCAGAAGTCGTCTCCTGTCTCCATCCAGGAGCGCCCCAACATGCTCGAGGACGTGTTTGACAAGGCAGGAGCACGGTTTTTTTTTCAGATTTCTTAAACAAAAAAAAAAAAAAACCTGCAGCGACAGACCAAGTCACCGAGCGACAAGGGAGGGCAGCATGCTCTGCTGCGGCGTCAAGGGTGCGGGATAGAAGTAACATTTTGAGACGCCTCAAGATGTTACTACTAAGATCTATCATGTGGCAGGCCAGCATGCTCTGCTGCAGCGTCAAGGGTGCGGCCCAACCCAACACTCTGAAGATGCCTTCTGGGCGATGTTCTTTTGTGTTCTGCGCATCGTGTGCGCTTTTGTATGCAAGTCTAGTTTTGAGGCGCCTCAAAACTAGACTTCTGGGGCGATGTTCCTTTGTGTTCTGCGCATCGTGTGCGCTTTTGTATGCAAGTCAACACATGGGTCACAGGTGCCTGGTCTCCACTGCAGCAAAGATCACAATGGACATTTTCAAGAACCCCCTTGTGCCCCACACGTGCCTGACACCCCCTTGTGCCCCACACGTGCCTGACACCCCCTTGTGCCCCACACGTGCCTGACACCCCCTTGTGCTCGCATGTGCCTGACTTCCTGTGCAGGAAAGATCACAATGGACATTGTCAAGGACCCTGTCTATCAACCCCCTTTGATCACCAGCTGGTGGTGGCCCCTGTTGTTTCCATGTGCCTTCCACACCATGCCATGCGCTCACCGTGCTGCCTCTCTCTCACACCCCCTTGTGCCCCACAGGTGCCTGACTTCCTCTGCTGCAAGATCACCATGAAGATTTTCAAGGATCCTGTCATCATCACTCACCTACGGGCTCTCTTTCCCTCTCTCTCTCCACCCCTCTCTCCCTTCAACTGTGCCCCTCAGGTGCCTGACTTCCTCTGCTGCAAGATCACCATGGACATTTTCAAGGATCCTGTCATCACCCCCAGTGGCGTGACATACGAACGAGCAGTGCTGGTGGATCACCTGAAGTCAGTAAGTACATAGGCTGCTCTGTTCATTCTCTCGGCCTCGTCTTCCACATCGCTCACACTGCTGATAAGGCGCCTCATACGAACGAGCAGTGCTGGTGGATCACCTGAAGTCGGTAAGTACATAGGCTGCTCTGTTCCTTCTCTCGGCCTCGTCTTCCACATCGCTCACACTGCTGATAAGGCGCCTCATACGAACGAGCAGTGCTGGTGGATCACCTGAAGTCGGTAAGTACATAGGCTGCTCTGTTGCATCTCCCTTCCGTTGCATCTCTGTTGAAAAAAAAAAAGTTTCTGAGGGCACTTCTACCACATCCTAACAGCTCGTTGGCTGCGCTTCTTTCTTTCTTTCTTTCTTTCTTCTTCTGTGCTTCGTAGATAGCTACGCTTTGCCTTCCTGTGGTGTGAAATCATATCTGTACCGTATGCCTTTACACACAGTATTTCATGGCCTTTTTTCTTGGTGCAGGGAAAACAGTTTGACCCGGTAACAAGGGCCCCCTTGACGCCAGAGCAGCTGGTGCCAAACCTGGCACTCAGAGAAACAGTACAACACTTTTTAGATGATCACGGGTGGGCCTATAATTTGCAATAATGAGCCATATCGGTAAACAACACATACATGGTTCACAAGTAACTTCAGTCAGCAGATGGCCCACATGTAAAGTCATATCGCTTGTTGGTATTGCCGAAGCGCTGCACTTGAAGTATGTACCCGATTGTCTTTCCTGAAACATGTAAAAAGGTCCGTTCTATTGAAGTACCGTAGGTTCAGGCATAAACTGCAATAACTATTGGCGGTTCAGAAACGTTTTAAAAGGAAAGATTATGGTGGCATTTCGTTGGATGGTCTCGAGTCTTTTAATACCGGTTCACCGTACACTTTCAAGGTCCCCCTATGCTTGGCGTTTTGTGCCGCAAAGAGGCAGGAATCGAGCTGTTTTTGGTCCCCTCACATCACTGGCTGAAGTGATTTTCCCGCTGCGCTCACACACGCACGCCCCTCTGGTCACACAGTCACACCGTTCATTTCATTCCTGCTCACCCACAAACTCCAGTGGACCAATGAGAGAAAGGGAAAACACGTTTCGTTTCTGGTGACCCATTGTTTCTGGTGAACCAAACGATTCCCACAATTTCTGTACAGTACTTGAAGTCTTGATATTTTTGTTCCGGATCGAGGACAGGGAGAACTCTCTAGGTCTCCCGAACTGTTTGTTCCCTGCCGCTCAGATATAGCATCAATTCTGTGCTGGCTGCTGGATAAAAACATGGTAAACCGACCTTTTGCCAGCAGATAGCCGTTTTCTCAAGTAAAGTGATTCGGGGTTTTGGACAATATTCACAACGTATATGATCCGTCAGTAGAAAGAGGCGCTTCTGATAGATGAGATCCTGGGATCGAACCCACCCCCGTGCAGGCTTGTTCTGCCAGACCCAAGAAGGGGTTAGCACGTGATCATCTAGGAATGGATACCCCTTAAACTGGTTATGACCAGAAATATAACTTTTAACTTAAACGTACCCCGTTTATGCGATAGTTTACTGGAAGAGAGTCAGACAATTTAACAGAGTAAACCTCCCCGTCAGAGCTGCATCTTTTCGGGAGATGCATCAACCTTACCAGCAAGCAAGTGCTGCTTCGTGTCCCTTTTAGTTCACTCGAGAACAGTCATTTTTGGAACCACATGTTCGTGTTATCCAGCCGTTTCTCTTGTTATCTGGTCATGATAGTAGCCCACCCAATGGGTGTCCGTATTGTAGGGAACGGGTACATCCGGTAGCCGCAATTATGCGAAGGACGACCTGTTACTACTTGTTAACAGCTTCTTGCTGGCCTAGGTCTCTGACGCACCTGACGTAACAACATCGGACTTACATGTAGGGCTTGTCAAGCTAACTCGGTTCTTCCTCGTGATTAACCAGGGGGCGATAATACTTCACACTGACTCCATTCTCGCGAGAACTGACTGAAATTCTGTAGTCCAACGATATTCAGACACGCCACCACAGACCAGCCGTAGTGATTAGTGGGACAAATTATCATTTTGGGTCACGATATAGAGCGCGGTCTCGCTGTATCAGTGCCGTCAAAGCAGGGTTGAATTTGTCTAATAGATTATCCAAAACGACCCATATTTATTCACAGCCTATAGCCCTGCTGCTAGTCTACCTCGAACAATGGCGGACTTTGGCGATTTCTCAGACGGTAGCGACGACGACATTGAACCCACATGGCTGCCCGACCAACGAAATGTTTCCGAAAACCTGCCCGAACCAATCGGAACCGTCGCACGATCCGGTCAGCTCGGCGCGCCTCTAGGAATCGCACACCTGGCACTCGGCGCAGTTACAGCCGCCATGTCAGCGTATAACCGCGGAAATGCGAAGGCGGACGGGGACGGCTTGCCACGTGTACGCATGCTGAGCTGTCTGCACGCGCTTTTCACGCAGCTGCACGACTCGGGAAGCGAGGAGGCAGCAGCGGACGGAGGTAGGTTCTGGCGAGGAGACATCAGACGGGGGTATGTTTAGTAGGATTGCAGCGCGACAGGCTGGCAGGACGCGTAGATTGGTTTGAGTCGACCAAGAATTCGGGAGGCGAGGAGACAGCGGCGGACGGAGGTAGGTTCTGGCGAGGAGACATTGGAGGTGATTTGGTTTAAAAGGATTACAGCGTGACAGGCTGGCAGGACGCACACAGTTTGAGTCGAGTCGCAATTCGGGAAGCGAGGAGACCGCGGCGGACGGGGGTGGGTAGGTAGCGAGGAGGCATCGGACGGAAGTATGTTTAGTAGGGTAACAGCGTGACTGGCTGGCCGCTGGTTACTGTGACAGGACGCACCAATCACCATGGTGCGTCCACACGCGTTTAGCACTCCATGCCGCGATATCGGCAGGAAGGAAGCGCAGCCAGGAAACAGCGGACTGAGGCGGGTATGCTAGCATTGTGACACGGTTGGTTAGGTTAGGTTTCGCGGAAGGAGGAAACGCGAACGTCAAGTTTAGGGTTATGGTTCAGTTTAGGACTAGACTTCGTGGTAGGATTGCAGTTAGAGACTGGGTTAGGTTTTTGGTGGTAGTGGAAGGTTAGTGGACGGGTGTCGTGGTGAATTATCGTGGCCTTAAATGTTGGCCTTGTCGTTTTGAGTTATCTTTTGATCTTTTCTGGTTTGACTCTTTTTCGCTCCTCCCTACTCCCTCCTCCACTCTCGCACTCCCCGCACTCTCCTTATGCCCATTCCGCTCCACCCTATGCGCAATCCAGCTCCCGTTCCTACTCCCTCTCTCACTCCCACTCCCCCTCCCACTCCCATTCCCCCATTCTCACTCCGAATCTTACTTCCAACCCCACTCCCACTTATATTGCTGCTCTTACTCCCATTTCCCCATCCACTCCCGCACCCACTCCCACCTTCATTCCCATTCCCATTCCCACTCCCATTCCCATCCCCACTCCCATTCCCATCCCCAATCCCATTCCCATCCCCAATCCCATTCCCATCCCCATGTGCTTCTCACACCCCATTCCCACTCACTCCCACACTCCCTCTCCCAACCAATTTGTCAGCCGCCCACTCCCAAAATCTAGGCCACTACTTCTCCCCTCTTCCCCTTCTCCCCTCTTCCCCTTCTCCCCTCTTCCCCTTCTCCCCTCTTCCCCTTCTCCCCCCAACCCTTGCTCGCATTTTGCACCTGCGGAACCTTATCACACCCTTCCGTGCCTCCCCTCTCCCCCCTCCCCTCTCCCCTCTACCCTCTCCCCTCTCCCCTCTACCCTCTCCCCTCTACCCTCTCCCCTCTCCCCTTTCTCATCTCCCCCCTTTTCCTCGTTCCTCCTCTTTACCCTCTCCCCTGTCGGAGAACAACCTTCCTCCAGCACCTGCTCTTCTTCCTGTTGCCATTCCTGCTTTCTTTCCTTACATGTGCTGTGTCCCCTCAGCCTCTCCCATGAAGGAGTTCCCTCCCTCACCCCGTAGGTTCCCTCCCTCACCCCGTAGGTTCCCTCCCTCACCCCGTAGGTTCCCTCCCTCACCCCGTAGGTTCCCTCCCTCACCCCGTAGGTTCCCTCCCTCACCCCGTAGGTTCCCTCCCTCACCCCGTAGGTTCCCTCCCTCACCCCGTAGGTTCCCTCCCTCACCCCGTAGGTTCCCTTCTAGTGGCGTGCTGCTGGATGTAGAATCTAGAGCAACTGATTTCACTATCACGAGAGAATAACAAGCGAAAAGCATGGATTGTGTGTTCGTGACTGAACTTACCTTGCCCAGGCTCAAGTTGCACATTTCACAATGTGCAGCTCGAGTTTGGGCTGGTCCTCCCTGATTGGTTCAATGCATTTCGCCCCTCGGTGCTTTCGCTCCCATTCCCAACGTCAAATTCGTCCTCCCCCTTACTACACCTCGAATCCCATTACAACATCTGCTACACCTCAATCTACACCTGCGCATCACTGTCATCGCATATGCACGAAGTGCATATTTGGTGACACCCCTCTAACGTCCCCAACCCTCCCATCCCACGCCCTGCCAGTAGCACATCTGCGGTACCGGTCCGGTCGTGCCTGCGCCTGCTGACCTGCGGCAAGCTGCCGTCCAACCAACGTCTTTCCTTCCCCTTTCCCTCCTCTTCCACTCCCCCTCACCCGTTCCTCGCTCCCCCACTTCCCCCCCCTACACCCTCCCCTCCCCCTCGCTGCTCGACCCTCCCCCACTCTCGCTTCCACACCTATCTTTAAATCCCTAAACTGAACCCCACCCCCACTCTCAGGCGCTGTGAGCCGTCCGATCCTCAACCCGGCCGATCTGGACGGTCTAGAGAAGGCGGTGCGCATCCTGCACCTGCGGTACTGGTCAAGCCTGCGCCCGCTCACCCGCGGCAAGCTACCTATCGACCGATGTTCCATTCTCCTTCCATTCCCTTCCCCTCTCACTACCCCCCCTCTTCCCTCCCTCCCCTCCCCCCCTCCTATCCCCCCGTTTCCCTCTTGGCCCTCCTCCCCTACTACCCCTCCCGCAACCATGCCTGAACCCCACCCCCACGGTCAGGCGCTGTGAGCCGTCCGATCCTCGACCCGGCCGATCTGGACGGTCTAGAGAAGGCGGTGCGAATCCTGCACCTGCGGTACCGGTCGTGCCTGCGCCCACTCACTCGCGGCAAGCTGCCGTCTCGCACGGAACTGAAGGAGATGCGGCTGAGCGCCCAGGCCATGGGGGTTAGGGCCGCCATGATGATGATTGATAAGGTCCCCAAGGTGAGGGGAAGATGGGAGGTTGGGTTGGGATGGGTTGGGTTGGGTTGGGCTGGGTTGGGTTGGGTTGGGTTGGGATGGGAGTGGCAAGCTTCTGTCCTGCACGCAGCTGAAGGGTATGCGGCTGAGCGCCCAGGCCATGGGGGTTAGGGCTGCCATGATGATGATTGATAAGGTCCCCAAGGTGAGGGGAAGATGGGAGGTTGGGTTGGGATGGGTTGGGTTGGGTTGGGCTGGGTTGGGTTGGGTTGGGTTGGGATGGGAGTGGCAAGCTTCTGTCCTGCACGCAGCTGAAGGGTATGCGGCTGAGCGCCCAGGCCATGGGGGTTAGGGCTGCCATGATGATGATTGATAAGGTCCCCAAGGTGAGGGGAAGATGGGAGGTTGGGTTGGGATGGGTTGGGTTGGGTTGGGCTGGGTTGGGTTGGGTTGGGTTGGGATGGGAGTGGCAAGCTTCTGTCCTGCACGCAGCTGAAGGGTATGCGGCTGAGCGCCCAGGCCATGGGGGTTAGGGCTGCCATGATGATGATTGATAAGGTCCCCAAGGTGAGGGGAAGATGGGAGGTTGGGTTGGGATGGGTTGGGTTGGGTTGGGCTGGGTTGGGTTGGGTTGGGTTGGGATGGGAGTGGCAAGCTTCTGTCCTGCACGCAGCTGAAGGGTATGCGGCTGAGCGCCCAGGCCATGGGGGTTAGGGCTGCCATGATGATGATTGATAAGGTCCCCAAGGTGAGGGGAAGATGGGAGGTTGGGTTGGGATGGGTTGGGTTGGGTTGGGATGGGAGTGGCAAGCTTCTGTCCTGCACGCAGCTGAAGGGTATGCAGCTGAGCGCCCAGGCCATGGGGGTTAGGGCTGCCATGATGATGATTGATAAGGTCCCCAAGGTGAGGGGAAGATGGGAGGTTGGGTTGGGATGGGTTGGGTTGGGTTGGGCTGGGTTGGGTTGGGTTGGGTTGGGATGGGAGTGGCAAGCTTCTGTCCTGCACGCAGCTGAAGGATATGCGGCTGAGCGCCCAGGCCATGGGGGTTAGGGCTGCCATGATGATGATTGATAAGGTCCCCAAGGTGAGGGGAAGATGGGAGGTTGGGTTGGGATGGGTTGGGTTGGGTTGGGTTGGGATGGGAGTGGCAAGCTTCTGTCCTGCACGCAGCTGAAGGGTATGCGGCTGAGCGCCCAGGCCATGGGGGTTAGGGCTGCCATGATGATGATTGATAAGGTCCCCAAGGTGAGGGGAAGATGGGAGGTTGGGTTGGGATGGGTTGGGTTGGGTTGGGCTGGGTTGGGTTGGGTTGGGTTGGGATGGGAGTGGCAAGCTTCTGTCCTGCACGCAGCTGAAGGGTATGCGGCTGAGCGCCCAGGCCATGGGGGTTAGGGCTGCCATGATGATGATTGATAAGGTCCCCAAGGTGAGGGGAAGATGGGAGGTTGGGTTGGGATGGGTTGGGTTGGGTTGGGCTGGGTTGGGTTGGGTTGGGTTGGGATGGGAGTGGCAAGCTTCTGTCCTGCACGCAGCTGAAGGGTATGCGGCTGAGCGCCCAGGCCATGGGGGTTAGGGCTGCCATGATGATGATTGATAAGGTCCCCAAGGTGAGGGGAAGATGGGAGGTTGGGTTGGGATGGGTTGGGTTGGGTTGGGCTGGGTTGGGTTGGGTTGGGTTGGGATGGGAGTGGCAAGCTTCTGTCCTGCACGCAGCTGAAGGGTATGCAGCTGAGCGCCCAGGCCATGGGGGTTAGGGCTGCCATGATGATGATTGATAAGGTCCCCAAGGTGAGGGGAAGATGGGAGGTTGGGTTGGGATGGGTTGGGTTGGGTTGGGCTGGGTTGGGTTGGGTTGGGTTGGGATGGGAGTGGCAAGCTTCTGTCCTGCACGCAGCTGAAGGGTATGCAGCTGAGCGCCCAGGCCATGGGGGTTAGGGCTGCCATGATGATGATTGATAAGGTCCCCAAGGTGAGGGGAAGATGGGACGTTGGGTTGGGATGGGTTGGGTTGGGTTGGGCTGGGTTGGGTTGGGTTGGGTTGGGATGGGAGTGGCAAGCTTCTGTCCTGCACGCAGCTGAAGGGTATGCGGCTGAGCGCCCAGGCCATGGGGGTTAGGGCTGCCATGATGATGATTGATAAGGTCCCCAAGGTGAGGGGAAGATGGGAGGTTGGGTTGGGATGGGTTGGGTTGGGTTGGGCTGGGTTGGGTTGGGTTGGGTTGGGATGGGAGTGGCAAGCTTCTGTCCTGCACGCAGCTGAAGGGTATGCGGCTGAGCGCCCAGGCCATGGGGGTTAGGGCTGCCATGATGATGATTGATAAGGTCCCCAAGGTGAGGGGAAGATGGGAGGTTGGGTTGGGATGGGTTGGGTTGGGTTGGGCTGGGTTGGATTGGGTTGGGTTGGGATGGGAGTGGCAAGCTTCTGTCCTGTATGCAGCTGAAGGGTATGCGGCTGAGCGCCCAGGCCATGGGGGTTAGGGCTGCCATGATGATGATTGATAAGGTCCCCAAGGTGAGGGGAAGATGGGAGGTTGGGTTGGGATGGGTTGGGTTGGGTTGGGCTGGGTTGGGTTGGGTTGGGTTGGGTTGGGATGGGAGTGGCAAGCTTCTGTCCTGCACGCAGCTGAAGGGTATGCGGCTGAGCGCCCAGGCCATGGGGGTTAGGGCTGCCATGATGATGATTGATAAGGTCCCCAAGGTGAGGGGAAGATGGGAGGTTGGGTTGGGATGGGTTGGGTTGGGTTGGGCTGGGTTGGGTTGGGTTGGGTTGGGATGGGAGTGGCAAGCTTCTGTCCTGCACGCAGCTGAAGGGTATGCGGCTGAGCGCCCAGGCCATGGGGGTTAGGGCTGCGATGATGATGAGTGATAAGGTCCCCAAGGTGAGGGGAAGATGGGAGGTTGGGTTGGGCTGGGTTGGGTTGGGTTGGGTTGGGATGGGAGTGGCAAGCTTCTGTCCTGCACGCAGCTGAAGGGTATGCGGCTGAGCGCCCAGGCCATGGGGGTTAGGGCTGCCATGATGATGATTGATAAGGTCCCCAAGGTGAGGGGAAGATGGGAGGTTGGGTTGGGATGGGTTGGGTTGGGTTGGGCTGGGTTGGGTTGGGTTGGGTTGGGATGGGAGTGGCAAGCTTCTGTCCTGCACGCAGCTGAAGGGTATGCAGCTGAGCGCCCAGGCCATGGGGGTTAGGGCTGCCATGATGATGATTGATAAGGTCCCCAAGGTGAGGGGAAGATGGGAGGTTGGGTTGGGATGGGTTGGGTTGGGTTGGGCTGGGTTGGGTTGGGTTGGGTTGGGATGGGAGTGGCAAGCTTCTGTCCTGCACGCAGCTGAAGGGTATGCGGCTGAGCGCCCAGGCCATGGGGGTTAGGGCTGCCATGATGATGATTGATAAGGTCCCCAAGGTGAGGGGAAGATGGGAGGTTGGGTTGGGATGGGTTGGGTTGGGTTGGGCTGGGTTGGGTTGGGTTGGGTTGGGATGGGAGTGGCAAGCTTCTGTCCTGCACGCAGCTGAAGGGTATGCGGCTGAGCGCCCAGGCCATGGGGGTTAGGGCTGCCATGATGATGATTGATAAGGTCCCCAAGGTGAGGGGAAGATGGGAGGTTGGGTTGGGATGGGTTGGGTTGGGTTGGGCTGGGTTGGGTTGGGTTGGGTTGGGATGGGAGTGGCAAGCTTCTGTCCTGCACGCAGCTGAAGGGTATGCGGCTGAGCGCCCAGGCCATGGGGGTTAGGGCTGCCATGATGATGATTGATAAGGTCCCCAAGGTGAGGGGAAGATGGGAGGTTGGGTTGGGATGGGTTGGGTTGGGTTGGGCTGGGTTGGATTGGGTTGGGTTGGGATGGGAGTGGCAAGCTTCTGTCCTGTATGCAGCTGAAGGGTATGCGGCTGAGCGCCCAGGCCATGGGGGTTAGGGCTGCCATGATGATGATTGATAAGGTTCCCAAGGTGAGGGGAAGATGGGAGGTTGGGTTGGGATGGGTTGGGTTGGGTTGGGCTGGGTTGGGTTGGGTTGGGTTGGGATGGGAGTGGCAAGCTTCTGTCCTGCACGCAGCTGAAGGGTATGCGGCTGAGCGCCCAGGCCATGGGGGTTAGGGCTGCCATGATGATGATTGATAAGGTCCCCAAGGTGAGGGGAAGATGGGAGGTTGGGTTGGGATGGGTTGGGTTGGGTTGGGGTGGGTTGGGTTGGGTTGGGTTGGGATGGGAGTGGCAAGCTTCTGTCCTGCACGCAGCTGAAGGGTATGCGGCTGAGCGCCCAGGCCATGGGGGTTAGGGCTGCCATGATGATGATTGATAAGGTCCCCAAGGTGAGGGGAAGATGGGAGGTTGGGTTGGGATGGGTTGGGTTGGGTTGGGCTTGGTTGGATTGGGTTGGGTTGGGATGGGAGTGGCAAGCTTCTGTCCTGTATGCAGCTGAAGGGTATGCGGCTGAGCGCCCAGGCCATGGGGGTTAGGGCTGCCATGATGATGATTGATAAGGTCCCCAAGGTGAGGGGAAGATGGGAGGTTGGGTTGGGATGGGTTGGGTTGGGTTGGGCTGGGTTGGGTTGGGTTGGGTTGGGATGGGAGTGGCAAGCTTCTGTCCTGCACGCAGCTGAAGGGTATGCGGCTGAGCGCCCAGGCCATGGGGGTTAGGGCTGCCATGATGATGATTGATAAGGTCCCCAAGGTGAGGGGAAGATGGGAGGTTGGGTTGGGATGGGTTGGGTTGGGTTGGGCTGGGTTGGGTTGGGTTGGGTTGGGATGGGAGTGGCAAGCTTCTGTCCTGCACGCAGCTGAAGGGTATGCGGCTGAGCGCCCAGGCCATGGGGGTTAGGGCTGCCATG